CTTCCACTCAAAACTCCCAGCCCCCAAAGCGCAGCTAAGCCTGGGGTCCCAGAGGAGGAGCATCTGAGCCCCACTACCATTCCAAATAGGTCTTGATCCCTCACTGAGCACCCTACACCTCATCTTCAGTGTCTGGATGAGACACCCTCACTAACTCCATTTCATTTCTTAACAGGAAGAGCTAAATCAGACTCCATGTTCGATCTGTTTGACTTTAACCTTTGCTTTGCGTTTTGTTACTATAATCAGACATAATGGCCTGCCTCAGGGAACCCTGTCCACCTGTGGATGGCTGCAAGAAAGAAGAAATTAACACATCCCCTCACCAAGGCTGGCCATTCCAGGGGATACTTGCAAAATTTATGGGCTTTTTACTTTACTTCCTCATCTCCTCCCCCTCTCTGTGCTATAAAAGAAACTGGCATCCAAACCCTGATAAACTGATTTATACGAGACACTAGTCTGCCATCTCCTTGGTCTGCCAGTAGGCTTTGCATTCCTTCCCTCAACACCTCGTCTCCAATTCATTGGCCTAGTGCAGCTAGCAGAGCGAGCTTGGACTCGGTAACAATTTCCCTGTCCTGAGTGCACTGGTGTCCTGGTCCAGACTGGAGCTGGGGTCCAGGTTGTCGTTGGAAGAAAACAATTTAAGAGCTGTTACCTGATGGTCTGACAGTCAGTATATAGGACATGATGACAGAGTATAAATGAGGAAGTATGATGCAGAGTTATCCTTGCCTGTCCCTCTTTTTCTTCTCAAATTATCGCAGCGGATCCCAAACCACTAGCCTACCACTACTTTATAGTTAGAGAAAGTAGAATATTAAAATTAGAAGAGGGACTTCCCTGGTGGTCCAGTGGGTAAGACTCCGTGCTCCCAAAGCAGGTAGCCCGGGGTTCGATCCCTGGTCCGGGAACTAGATCCCGCATGCATGCCACAACTAAGAGTCCACATGCTGCAACTAAGAAGCCCACATGCCACAACGAAGACACCGCATGCTGCAACTAAGACCCCGTGCAGCCAAAATAAATAAATAAGTAAATATAAAAAAAATAATTTAGAAGAATTTTGAGGTCAAACAGAGCAAGGTTCAAACTAGCCCTCTGACTTACTCTGGGACTTCGGGCAAGTTACTTAAACTTTCTGACTCTCCAGAAAGAGAAAGACAAATACCATATGATATCACCTATATGTGGAATCTAAAGTACGACACAAATGAACATATCTACGGAACAGAAATAGACTCACAGACATAGAGAACAGGCTTGTGGTTGCCAAGGGGGAGGAAGGTGAGGGAGGGTTGGATTGAGAGTTTGGGGTTAGCAGATGTAAACAATTATATAGAGAATAGATAAACAACAAGGTCCTACTGTATAGCACAGGGAACTATATTCAATATCCTGTGATAAACCATAATGGAAAAGAATATGAAAAAGAATGTGTGTATATGTATACCTGAATCACTTTGCTGTACAGTAGAAATTAACACAACATTGTAAATCAACTATACTTCAATAAAATAAAAATTTTTTTAATAAAAAAATAAACTTCTGACTCAGTTTCTTCATCTGAAAAACATGGGACTTCTCAAAGCCACTATGAGGATTAAATGAGATTGTGCATGGAAAGTTCTTAGCTTGGCACCTGGGACACAGTGCTCAAAAAGTGTTCCCTGTGAACTCCTTTGGGGGGTTTCTTCATTCTTTACTGATGCTTGTGAATCTAAATGAGGCTGCCCTTCTCTGCACTGATCTCTTTGACAAGAGGGCCCCTTGCCTGGGCCATGGGTTGAGCCTCCTGCCCCTCTCATTCCACGTGCACCACTCCCCAATTACACTGTGCCCCACCAGACAGCAGTGAGATCCAGGAGGACGACAGGGAGAGGATGCAGGGGTTCATGGTGCTGTCAGGGCTCAGCGCACCCGTGGAGCTAGGGACTTCTACCACCAGATGGTCAGGAAAGGGATGAAGAAGGGAAAACTTGCAAGACTCACTGTCTCTGGTCAAAGAACAGGTCTTGGTCAACCCATACTTGAGGACTGGCAAGTGTCAGAACCTCAGAAAATCCTGCCCAGGGTGAGTATTTATTAGAGGAGGTCATCGCGAGGACGTGACCGCTGGTTGCCCCGTGCATGGGAGCGGGGCAATCGGAGGCTCCTCACCCCCTCCCCCGTGCTTGGAATGTACCTTCTGCCCACTGTTCCCACAGTGGGAGGTGTTCCAAGGATGCAGCCTTAAGAAAGGGATGCTGTTGAAACCATCTGCACGGTGTACACGGCTGAACCAGGCTAAGGCCTCCCTGTAAACTTTTAAGCTTCTGGAGGCGGGTGCAGAGATTGGCTGGTCTTGAGCCTGCCTCCAAACAAACATGTAAGTTCCCTTGCTGGTTAAAATTGCCACCTAGCGGGGTTTCCCTGGTGGCGCAGTGGTTGAGGGTCCGCCTAACGATGCAAGGGACACGGGTTCGTACCCCGGTCCGGGAAGATCCCACATGCCGCGGAGCGGCTGGGCCCGTGAGCCACGGCCGCTGAGCCTGCGCGTCCAGAGCCTGTGCTCCGCAACGGGAGAAGCCACAATAGTGAGAGGCCCGCGTACCGCAAAAAAAAACACAAAAAAACCGACAACAACAAAAAAAACCTGCCACCTACCAATCCGGAGTGGTCTGCCTCTTTCTTCTCTCTCTCTCTGCCCTCTGTGTGCCCTCCAGAGTAAGGGGCTGGTTCAAATTTCACCCAGGAAGTTCCCAAGGTGAACCAGCAGGAAGCTGAGAATTAGGGAGGGGGAGGTGTGTGGCTTTTCTTCCAGGTCAGAAGCTAATTTCAGGGTGCAAGTTTAGGGAGTAGGACCAGGGTCCACAGAAGCCTTACACTCGCAGGAAGGAAAGGTTCTGATGGCTTTTTTGGTTTAAGGTACAACAGTAGGAAAAGCTGCCCAGAAAGGTCTTGGAGGTGCGCAGGGGGGAGGGGTGGGGTGTTGTAGGGTGTGAGACGTGGAATTTGGCCTCCTCTCAGCCCTTGACCTCCATCTCCAAGTTCAAATTCAGCCTGAACTTCAGCCCTTTCCTCCTCTCTCTCTCTCAGGAACTTGCTACCTATAGGCAGGTCAGCAGCTCCCATGCGGACAGGATGGGCTGCCCCAGATGAGAAGGAAAGTTCTGGAAGGGCCCCCTCTCCCAGTGCTCAGCCTGAGCTGCACCTGGAGCTCATATCTCCCTCTCCAGTCCTGCTCCCCACCCGGCAGAAAATCATCCTACAGGGGCTTCCCTGGTGGCGCAGTGGTTGAGAGTCCGCCTGCCAATGCAGGGGACGTGGGTTCGTGCCCCGGTCCGGGAAGATCCCACATGCCGCGGAGCAGCTGGGCCCGTGAGCCATGGCCGCTGAGCCTGCGCGCCCGGAGCCTGTGCTCCGCAACGGGAGAGGTCACAGCAGTAAGAAGCCCGCCTACCGCAAAAAAAAAAATAAATAAAAAAAAATAAATAAACCAAGGAGGTTTAAAATTTTATCCAAGTATCTATAGTTAGTGACAAAGGAGGACCCAGGGAGCCCAGATGACCAGCTAATTAAAGGCAGAACACAACATAAAACTCAAGTTCCTGAGTTGGCAACAGTGGGCTCAAATAAATATCCAATCCCTTGATAGACTTATAAATTTAAGATCTCCAAAGAGCATTCCTGACATTGATTGAAAATGACATTTCAACACTGAGGATGCATTTTTTTTAATTATCTTGGTCCCAAAAACCTAAAGACATCCCTCCCTACAGCAAAGCTACCTGGAGGGGACAAAACACCTGTTTTGGAGCCAAGGGCTGGCCCCCAAGGAAAGTGAGCCAAGGTGGGACCATCCAAACGACTCAAAGAACTAGCCACTCACCCCAGTTCCATTCCCCAACTCACATTCTCCAACAAAAGAAAGGTCAGCAAGTCCAGAAAGAGGCCTGACTGTCCCACTCCTGGACAAGCCTATGGCAAGTCACCCAGGGTTTGGCTTCCATCCTTCTACCCCCTGGCCACGCCTAACCAGCATCCATTTCCAGTGTTCTCAGAAAGAAGGGATCCCCTATCCTTCCTAAATAAGTCAGTCCCATAATCCCACAGCCACGTTCAGACCCCCTTGCTCTCTTTCCTCATCTTAGCCCTCAAGGAGCACAGACAAGAGGGTCAGCATTAGCCTTTATTGTGGAAAAGAAGCACCACACACCCACTGCCCAAGCCCAGGGCTGGGTTTCCTACGCTCAGGGTAGCAGCAAGAACAGAAACAGAGCAGAGAGGGCAATGAAAGTCCCTGGGGGTGTCACAAGCCCCAGGACATCATCCTCTCCTGGCTACCAGGACAAGCCCCGTGGAGTCACCAAGGAAACTCAGGACACATCAGGACAGCTAGGGCACCGGGCTCTCTGCAAGTAGAAGAAACATCAGGTCACAACTGTGCCCTCCTGGCTCCAGCTCCTCAACATGTTTTTTTCCCTTCCACCCTGGAGAAGTTTGGCAAAGATTGCTCTCAAAGGCCTTAAATGGCTCCCTGCTTCCCAGACAATCCCGTCTAAACTGGCATTGAAGACTCTTATCACTCATTGACCAACCTTACATTTCCTGTTCAAAAAACAGCGTGTTCCCTTACACACTCTCTCACCACCCCCATCCCAGCTCCCCAAACACGTCACATACGTTACCCCCTCTGTGCCACCCATGCAGCATGTTATCTGGGCTCTCCTCCCTTGGTCACATCCTGCCTAGGCTTTAGGGCCCAGATCAAACCCTACTTCTAGGAGAAGGACCTTCCCAAGGAGCCACACTTACTCTCATCACCTATACACGCATACTGCCTGTACAAGGGTTCTGATCTGTGACATAGAATCTTTCTCCCCAACTAGACTCTCCAGGGCAAAAACTGTCTTGTCCTTCTGGAGTCCCCACCCAGCACCTAAGCCAGTGCTCTGTACATAGCAGTTAAGGCCATTGTTATTGATAACAATGGGCTGTACTCACCTAATTCAAAATTAGACCTGATGGTCCCGTTGGGGTTCAGGGCCAGCTGGGGTGGCAGGATTGGCGGGACACAGAAACGGCCACAGCCTGACTTGCAGCACTTTTCCCCAGCTGGGCAGTTCTCATCCACCGTGCAGCTGACAATGCACAGGCCTGCCAAAATTTTTGGACAGTCACCACCCTGCCCTGTGGGATAAACAGGCATAGGTATAGAGACAGGAGGGTTGGCTCCAATGACTCCAAGTTCCCATCTGGGACTTAGAGGCTCCAGATGAATCCATCCCTGATTCCAACTAGATCTTAACCAAAGATCTGGCTGGAAAACCTTGAAGTTCAAGGATCCGAGCCCCTGCAGGGTCCCAAGAGAGCATCTGGACTAATGATTTCCAAATGGTGTCCCACAGGGAGTTCCCTAGCGGTACCTTGGGACTTGATACCTCTGTGGGTTTGGGGCTGGGGCTGGCTGGGATGCAGAAGGAGCAAGGCTCCCAGAGCACCACCCTCTCCCCCTATGCTTGGGCTTCCTACTAACACCCACTGCCTTCCTCTAGTTCTTTCAATGCCAACATGGGCCTGTTGGTCCTTGGAGGAGGGTTGCTTTGGGTTGAAGGGCTATAGGAGGACTGGAAAGATGAGAACTCTGACTCCTCCCATGAAGAGAAAGGGAGGAAGGCCACAGATGGCTCCCTCCCAGGCCAACCCTGGGACCCCACGAGCACTCAAGTCTTCCCCAAAGAGCCAACATACCTCCCTTAATGTCTCGATGGCAGGCATGGCCACAGCCGGTGCTGCAGCACTTATGTCCCTGAGGACAGGATGCGTCCCCATCACACAGCTCTTCACACGGAAGGGGGTCGGCAGGACATTCACCGCCAAACTCTGCCATAAAATCAGAGCGTTGGGGCCCAGAGGTGTTCAAGCCCAATGTTTCCAGTTATTTTCATTGGAACTCTGAGTACAAAATACATTTTCCATTGAGTCCCGTGTGTATTTCATACCTATTTCTGTGTAAAATGTACATATTTATGTGCATACATGTATATGCAATGCTGATACTTTATATCCTATTTCTTTTTTTTTTAAATCCTGACCACAAAATACTAAATAGATATCCAGACTCACAGACTGAAAAGCACTGTTGAGGTCTAACACATTGTGGCAAACGCACTAGCTGCCACCCCCATATTCATCCTCCCTCCTTGCTTACTGTGGTCGACATCAACACTGCTGGCTGCTGGAATACATGCTCTTGGGTAGCCCCCTCCCATACTGTCTCTGGGCTTGACTGGGTGACTTGCTTTGACCAACAGGACACCAGCCAAGTATGATGCAAGCAGAGGCTTGAGCAACACTTGCGTACTGGGGCTTGAACACTCCCTCTTGGAAACCAGCCACCGTGCTGTAAAGCAGCTTGGGCTAGGCTGTGGGATAGTGAGACGCCTCCAGAGAGAGAACCTGGAGGAGGAGAGGCCATCCTGGACATTCCAGCCACAGTGGAACTTGCCAGGGAGCTCCCAGCTGCATGAAGGACCTCAGCTGTGCCACTGGGTATAAGAACTGCCCGGCTAAGCCCAGCCAACCCACAAAGCCACACAACTGTGAGAAAGAATGCACTGTGTTAATGTTGATGACTTCAGGATTGGGGCTTTGGGGAAAAAAAAAGAATGCACTGTGTTAAGTTGCTAAGTTTGGGGACGGTTTGTTAGGTGGCAATAAATAACTGAAGCACTTGTGAATAGAACCCCAGGCTTGTTCTGAGAGGCAGTGAGCCCAGTCAGCTAAAATGATTTGCTTCCCCCATATTCCCTTTTAACTAGGGGTGACCACAAACTAAGATATAAGCTGAGAAAACTTTTGCATTGTTGGTTCAGGGAATACAACTGTCAAACTGCCCTCTCATTGCTTTCTTCTTCCAGTCCAAAGACAGACAAGGAATCAGAGCAGCCTTCTTGCAACCAGGAGGCACCCAGTATGAAGACAAAGTCAAGAACTGCAAAGGAGAGACAGAGAAATTGCTTCATCGTGGAGCCACCACACCAGCCCTGGCGCTGACTTCAGGACTTCTTGTTATGTGAGAAAGAAGAATCCCTGTTGGTTTCATTTTCTGCTTCATGTAGCCAAACACATTCTTGATGTGCCCTTTCACAGGCCCTAAGAAGATAATGAAACTCAGAGAAGAGAAGGGGTTGGCCCAGAACTGCAGAGTGAGTCAGCGGCAAAGCAGGACAAAACTCAGCTTCTCGGTTTGCAATGAAGCACTCTTTCTACTACACCATCCTTAAGACATGTGGGCAACAGGCCAGGTCCACGGGGGCAGGCACACCCAAGAAGTCACATCCAAACCAAACCCACTCACCATGACTCATTCCTCTCAGTGTTTATTTCAAGTCTTTTAAATGGAGGGGGAAATGACAGGCAATTCAAGCTTTGTAGAAAACCAAGACAGGACTGGCCCAGTGCCTCTGAGAACGAACATGTACATACGATTGGACACAGCTGGCTCCGGGAACTCTGACATGATGGAAAAAGCAAGTGTTGGACTCCAAGAGAATACATACAGATAAACAATCAATCAAGATATAATAACCTGGCATCCTAGGATTTTTCGGAATAGCCCCTATTTCAAGTATTTTTTGCCATTGTCCGCTTGTGTCACAACTATGTGCCTTGATACTTTTTATTCAGAAAATATGGTCACTTTAACAACCAGATGTATCTCCCCACACCTTCCCACCTGTCTGACAAACACTAAAATCCATTTAACAAGGAACAAAGCCTTTTACCCCATGGTTGAGAAGGCTGGGAATAAAAAAAATCTCCCTGGTAGGGAAA